TGGCTTGGTGCAGTCATGTGAGGGCAGAATAATTCTGAACTGAAACTTTGACCAGAGCACCTTTGTATTTTGTTTTTTGTAATGTTGGAGTGACCGCACCCCAGCTAGGAGCAGTTACCTGTCTGTAGGAGTTTTAAAATTCCATTAGCAAAAATGGACAGTAAAGAAAAATAAAACTTCTAATAGATGAGGAGAACTAACATTTTCTGTTGTTGACCAGTCTCCACAGATGACACGGAGCCACTGTAGGTATATCAGATGCCCCAGATGAACAATATCATAGAATATCACAGGTCCTTTTCTGTAACCCATCAAAGATATGGCTCCGACAGAGGGACACATTTTTAATCAAACAGTGCTGATGTATGAGGCTTGTATATTTGTTTGAAACAAAAACAGCGTAGAGGCGCCTGGGTGGCTCAGTTCGTTAAGCATCCAACTCTTGCTTTCGGCTCAGGTCATAATTGCATAGTTCTTGAGTTCAAGCCCGGCATCAGGCTCTGTGCTAACAGTGTGGAGACTGCTTAGGATTCTCTCTCCCTCTCTCTCTGCCCCTCCTCTACTCTCTCTCTTTCTCTCACAAAGATAAATACATAAACTAAAAAAAATAAAGACAGTTTATCTATATTATTTATTAAGATTAAAACCAAACTAACTAGTTTGGCTTAATATTATGGAAACTAAATTAACAGATACCTGATTTTCTTAAAAGATAGGCTTGATTGGGATGCCTGTTTCAACATCTGTTAATATTGAGCTTCAGGCTAGTATCAGATGTATTGAAACGTGGAGGATTTTTACATTTTAAATGTTAAAAAAGTAAAGCTAGGAGGAGAGTAGCCTGGGTCACCTGAAAACACTTCTGTGCAAAATACCTAAACTGCCAGAAGGGATACCCCACGAGGGCAGGGATTTGGGCAGCTTTATTTACTCCTAAATCCCCAGTACTCCCTAAATCCTTATTTACTCCCCTAAATCCTCAATCGGTTGAGCGTCCGACTTCGGCTCAGGTCATGATCTCACGGTCTGTGAATTCAAGCCCCACGTCAGTCTCTGTGCTGACAGCTCAGAGCCTGGAGCCTGCTTCCGAATCTGTGTCTCTTTCTGTCTCTGCTCCTTCCTTGCTCATGCTCTGTCTCTCTCTCTCTCAAGAATAAATAAACATTAAAAAAAATTTTAAGAGATGCATAAAGTATAAAATGCCCTTTTAAATATGTAGCTGAATTCCTAAGCAACTTGGGGAAATCTTCAAGGATTGGAACTGACTTTAGAAGTGAACATCAGAGCGGTATCTGGCTTTTTGGTGAGTGGGTTGGGGGACAGTTGCCAGAATTGGTAAGCCGGAGCCTTGGAAGCAGGACACAGAGCCTTGGCTCCATCACAGGCAGAAAAAGCAATGGACCAGGGCTCCCAAGGGCTGCACATTGTGTAAGGCTCAACTGGAGAGACATCTGCCTGCTGGTAGAGGGAAGCTGATGGAACAGCATGAAGTCTCCCTCATGTAATCATAATGAGAGCCAGCCTCACCAAGATCAGGCTTTGAACGGATTGTCACCGGTGGCCTAGGAATCCCCACGGAAAGGAGAGTTTATGTTCTGTTGCTGGTTTCTGCACACAGAGACCCCATCTGGAGACACATGGTCAACCCAGGTTACATACAAGATCATAGCTAACCCCCCACTGATTTTAACTGTTTCCATCTCTAAAAAATACATTTTATTTCAAAAACAGTAGCTTTGATTTCTCTACCATTGCCACTTGGACACAAAAGATAGGCTGTGCCAGTAGGTAGACATTACCAATAAGGAACATGAAAAAAAAGATTCCTTTGACTACTTTTCATCTAAAATGTAATAAGCAGACCTTTGTGCAGTTCCTCTTAGGCACTGTGTGCAATTGAGAAGGCTGAGACCGTGTTTCTGGGCGCCCGACCCCGGTCATCCTGACTGTCCAGCCTAGGACCGCCCAGGAAAGAGCAAGGCATTCTGAACTGAGCAGGAAAATCTCTACTAAGGAAGCATATGAGCAAATTAATTATGCAGCTTAGAATGAACCAGGTAGTGAATCTACAAGACCCACTCATGTGAGGTGGTCACATTTGACTCAATCATACTTGCCAGCTCTGACCACCTCAGCAATTTGAGAGGCTGCTGTGGTAGCAGAGACGCCCCTGGGTCTCAGCCTGGTTGGTGGGCACCGTGGTGGTCGGCGAAGTTCGGGTCACAGGCAACATTACACGCCTGTCTCCTAGGAAAGAGATGAGGGCGGCCGGGCTTGTCCATCGTAGGCGACACAAGTGCCCAGGGCAAGATCTCGGGGGAGCTGCCAGACTCACTCCCCTGCTGCGGCGCCCGCACGTGCTGTGTTGCTCCGTGTGTGTCCCCAGTTTGTGCAGATGTCTGTCCTGCGTCTTCACGTCAGGCAGAGTTCTGGCGTCCACTAAACCCCTTCCTTTATCCCACCGATCAGCTCAGGGGTCCCCCTGTTTTACCTGAACACAGTGTGTCGCTAGAGGAGCTGCAGGGTCAGCTTGCGCAGGCGGCCAGACTGCATCAAGAGGAGACAGAGAGATTTACAGACAGGATTCGTAAGGTAAATATGTCACGCGATTTCAGCACAACCAGGTGTCTGATGGCGCGGCCCCTGGAGGCAGATGACTGGATGTGTTTGAAAGAAAGTTGTCGTGCGCAGGCTCCTGGACTCCCAGGGCTGGAGTTTCATCCATTGAGCTGCCCCTCAGACTTGTCATAAAGACGACCGTCTGCCTTTCTCTTCGAACACATGCTTTTACTGTATTTACATTGCGGTCAGCGGGAAAGTCCTTCCTAACATGGAGTCTACATTTTCCTGCAGCTGTAAACCAGCAAAGGCAAATCAAATAAGGGCCTTAGTGCATCTGGACATGAAAAGTGTGTCCATAACTTGGGGTGTCCCGCAGATTCGTAAGCTTTCTCCATGTGGTAAACTTTCTGATAGAAACTTCAGCAACTCGCCCAAACGATTGTCTTCAAAATACTGCCGTTATGTGAGCTGCGGCCTTATTAACCCTTTTACTTTAGAATAAGCTAGCTAACTATCCTTTATCTATTAAATCCTTTACCAGAGTTGCTATGCGAAAGGATTTGCGGACACGGGCACTCATTTGCTAAATAATTTAACTTATTTTCCTTTTTTTTTTTCTTTAACTGCACCAAACATCATGTTTGAGAAGGGAGTCTATCCCTGGAGATGGTAATAGCAAAATGGCAGGGTCCCGGGTGTGTGTAGCTAGTACTTGGATTCAGGGGAAAGGAGTGTGTTGAAGATGAGCCTACAGACCTTGTTTGGAAGGCGGTGAGAGGTCATCCAGGCTTGTTCAGAGGGAAAGGGACAGTTTTCTCTAACGATTCTGAGGGCAAAGGACCAGTCTTGAGACTTGAGAAGTGCCGGAGTCATGGGACAGGAGGAGGCAGCCAGGACAGTGGGGAAGTCAGAGCGAGTCCGGGAGGGAACATTGGCTAGAGGCTGCACAATAGTGGACAGAACATCCCCGCCCCCAGCCCCGCACCTCCACTAATACTCCAACATCTCTGGCGTACCTGCCCTGAGCTAGGCGCTCTGCACATCCCAAGATAGCTTCTGGCATCACTTTGCAGCCCAGGGACCCGAAACCTCCCCAGTCAGCCGCTGGCCTGAGATAACACTGCAAGTGCATTGCAAACGCTGAGTTTCCAGCCTGGTAGGCTGCCCCTCTCCCCACTCCATCCTGCTCTTGTGCCCACAGGGCGGAGAAGCCTCGGGAGGACTCTGAGGCTGCCGCGATGGTGAATTAAATCACTGCTATCTTGTGTTATCACAGCTTGAAGTGCAAAAAATATCTGGTATGATGACTGCGGCCAAGCAGGTCTGTGCGCAGAACCGGGACCTGCCCAGAGCTGCCACTCTTCCGTGGCTTTAGCATATCAGACACGTGGGTGTGGACCTCACGCAGCCGTAATCGCATCCCCTTGGTTTCTGCGCACAAATCTAGCACTTTAGAAAAATAAGCCAGAACAGAACTCACTGCCTTGATCTTTGGCCGAGGGGGAGTGTTAAAGCAGGAAAGGACAGCCGATAACAAGGCTGGGATCCTAACCCTTTTTTGGGGGGGGAGGGGGAAGGGGGGGAGGTCTGTGGGACAGAAAGCTTTCATCCCATCTGTCACTTTAGCTACTGTTGATATTATTCGTATGCCCCTACCTGTACAATGAGATTTTATTCACACCCCTTTGCTTAGGCATTACCGACATAGTGATGATTTATTGCTTGTAACGTGCCTGGACCCATGTGGAAAAGCAGGAACTTAGCGTAGCAATGGGAGACACTGCTTTTTCAGCAATGCTTTATTTCCCTAAGGGTCACTACTCATCACTGATACGAATGTGAAGTCCCGAGTGTGGCAGCAGGTTGTCAGATGACTTCCCTGTTTGTCCACCTCTGTATGCAGCAGAGGACCTCGCACCTAGACAAATCCCTGCTCCCCCACCTGCCTCGCCCGCCTGCTCTCTGTGGGCCTCTCCGTCAGCCTGGCAATCTCCTCCTTCTGCTGGGGGCTGTGCGCACCAGAAGGCTCAGGAAGCCGAGGGGAAGGCTCTCCGCTTACTCCCCCTTTACAATCGAAGTGTGCCTTTGTGTGCAAGCCCACCTGCAGAGGGCACGTGGAATCTGCATGGATATCAGCTGCACACCATACATCCGAGAAGCCATTGTCCTGAAGTTTAGAGAGAGACCTCTAAAAACACCCCAAGAGACTTGACAGTGAAAATCGATTGTAACCCCTCACTTTGAAATAGGATCTGCTTCTGAATCAGAAAACCCTTGAGGCTTTTATAATTAGTACCCATCTCAAGGAGTTCCCGTGTTTCATGTCCCAGCTGCAACATGATAAGGATTGAATGGCAGTTTGCAAAGACTTTGGGTTTGGCTTGGGTGGCAGGTGGGAAGAGCCGCTGTCACACATCTCTCCTTTTTTTCCATTCAAGATGGAGGAGGAGCACCTCTACGCCTTGAGGTGGAAAGAGCTAGAAATGCACAGCTTGGCTTTACAAAACACCCTCCATGAGCGAACCTGGAGTGATGAGAGAAACCTGATGCAACAGGAGCTCCGGTCCTTGAAGCAGAACATCTTCCTTTTCTACGTCAAACTCAGGTGGCTGCTGAAACACTGGCGGCAAGGGAAACGGATGGATGAGGAAGGCGAGGATTTCACTGAGGTACCTCCGCCCAGAGCGTTCGTTTTATTTGCGTCCGTTTTGTTCTTGCCCCCCAGGCACCGCTGTCCCTCTGCCTTCTACACACAGAGTCACACTCTGCCATTTCGCATTATTTTATCAAGTCCAATGCAGGCAATGGAAATGCAGCAAGTGGTCAAGTTATATAATAGACCAAGAATTCCATACTGTCCTTTAATCTCGTTGTTTTGTTTTGTTTGTTTTTAAATAAAATAGAGCGTGAGTGGGGAAGGGACAGAGAGAGAGGGAGACACAGAATCCGAAGCAGGTTCCAGGCTTTGAGCTGTCAGCACAGACCCTGATGTGGGGCTTGAACTCATAAACCATGAAATCATGACCTGAGCAGAAGTCGGACACTTAACCAGCTGAGCCACCCAGGCGCCCCTTGACCTGGTTTTCAGAGTCCTGGTCTGTGACTGCATCATGCAGCAAAATGTTGCTGCCATTTCTTTTGTTGCTCATCTGTGGATTCATGAGAATTGTCACCCGGAGCTCCTTTCCATGCCTCATCCCACCTTGGCTGGTTTGTCCAACCTAGCTCTGAATCTTTCTCTCCTCTTTCCATTTCGGTTTTTGTTCCTGAATGCTAGAGCCCATTCTGCCAGTGCGGTTTTATAAGCTCCAGTTCGGTCAGATTTTTGCCACCTCCAGATTTGCTGCCTGTGCATGTGTCTGTTCCCTCCTGTGCCCCATTCCCAGTTTCAGCCCAGAACAAGAACAGAGCCATTTCCTTGCTGATTGATCTTATTGATTAAGTCAGTGTGACTTCGAGCTCTTCAGGCTGCTTCCGGCCCAGCCTTCTGATGCGTGCAGGGCTGGGACCTGAGGTTCTGAGCATCCGCCCCCCTGACTCCAAGGCATCATAAGTCTCGGTTTCCTTTAGACTCCCAGGGACTTTTTGTCTGCTTTCACTTTAGTGAGCAGTGTATACAGTTTGAAGTCATCCTGGGAAGAGGAAGATACATGGCTTCTCTCTACTCTGGGAGGGAAGAAAGTCTTCCAAAATCAATTCAACCTGTTTTCAAATAGCCGTGACCAAGAAAACCATCATTAAGCAACAAAACCTACAAGTAGTTGTGAAGTTTCCTGCTGAGCAATACTTTGGAGTTCCTCCTCTAGTTTATAAAACCACAACTATAATCAATAATCATTTATAAATCATAAAATTTGTCATTGTCAAAATAACTTACAAACAGTAAAATTTCCAATCTTCGCTGATCAACTGGGCACCCCTTGTGTGCTATTCAAAGGAAAAGGGTTGGGACGCGTGGGTGGCTCAGTCAGTTGAGCATCTGGCCCAGGTCATGATCTCATGGTTCACCCGCATCGGACTCTGTGCTGACAGTGAGGAGCCTGTTTGGGACTCTCTTGTCTCCCTCTCTCTCTCTCTCTGCCCGCCTCCCCCCTCAAAAATAAATACATAAACATTTAAAAAATAAATAAATCAAGTGAGTTCATGAAATGGGCTAAATGAGCATAAGCCACAAAATGGAGAATTCTCAAACAGTAAAAACCAGGCTGCAGAGCAAAGGCTTTGGATGGAGCCATGATCATTGTCTCCTGCTGTTTTCAGAGCGAGCGTCCGGAGACCCTCCCCAGGCTCGGCGAGCTTGGAGTGCAGGGGGACCCCAAGGGGGACGTCCCCGACCGGGAGGACAGTGGTCCAGGCTGCGGCTTTTCGATGGGAGAGCATTCTCCACACTCCCCTGTGCAGATTGGTGACCACGGATCGCGGCTGCAGCCTGCGCACGCGGGCCAGCTCCACAAGCAGGTGGGTGCCAAGGTCCCAGCCCCTCGTTCTACCCACACATGGGAGAGGAGACTGACAGTCTGTGTCTGTGCCATCTTATTCTATATGCTGGTGTTCTGGGGAGCAGGAAACTCCTCTGGCTGCCTGTGGTTGCCTGGAGCTGTTTTTGTACTAGAAATTATATCGTTAAGGCTTTCAGCCCATTAGTTCGTTTGGCTGACATGTATAAACAAGGAGCTAGTAGGATCAGATCAGTTGGAGAGGCCAGCAAATGTCCCTGGAGAAGAGGAGGAGAAGAGGGGGAGTTTTGAGTGGTGTGTAGACTGATCTATGGCTTTACAAAGGTTGACCATTCTTCCCAGAGACAGTACTGAGTGCAGCACCCTCCTCATGTCCAGAGAAAGAATGTACAGGGTTTTCTTATTGATGTTTAGCTGAATGGGCATGGGAAACACCACTCATTTGGCAACATGATGCGTGAGGAGGAAAGAGAAAGTTGTTGTGGTTGTTTTTAATCCTAAACCTGTATAAAGTGTTTTAGGTTCTTTTTGGGCCACTTGAAATGAAAATATTTGATGACACCTAAAAGAATGAAAGCATGGGGGTGACTGAGTGGTTCAGTCAGTTAAGCATCCGACCCTTGGTTTCAGCTCAGGTCATGATCTCGCAGTCTGTGAGACAGAGCCCCACATCAGTCTCTGCACTGTCAGTGGGGAGCCTGCTTGGGCTTCTTTCTCTCTCTCTTTCTCTTTCTGTCTCTCTCACTCTCTCTGTCTCTCCCTCTCTTTCTAACTCTTCCCTACTCATGCTTTCTCTTTCTCTCAAAATAAATAAATGAATTTTTTTTTTAAAAATGAAAGTACTCAGGGCGCCTGGGTGGCTCAGTCGGTTAAGCATCCAACTTCAGCTCAGGTCATGATCTCATGGTTTGTGGGTTCGAGCCCTGCGTCAGGCTCTGTGCTGACTGCCAGCTCAGAGCCTGGAGCCTGTTTCAGATTCTGTATCTCTCTCTCTCTCTCTGACCCTCCCCTGCTCGCTCGCTCTCTCTCTCTCTCTCTCAGAAATAAATAAAAACATTTAAAAAAATGAAAGCACATTAAAGAGAGGTGGGATTTCAGTGTATAATATGAAATAATCATTATTATTGCCAAGTGCCACATTTATTAATTATTAAGCAGATAGCCCCTGCTATCTGGTACTACTGCTGCCACCCAGATTTTTTGCACTTCTATACAAAACAGCAGGTGTGTTGGGTTTAGAGTGTTGAGACCCTAGGAGGCATCCAGCATTAAAGCTTTCTTGCTCCCCGAATTTCTGGTCTGAGTCCTTTCTGATTCTGTGTTGCTTCTTTGATGGTTCTGTGGGGCAGAGCCCAAGGTCCCAAGCCCTAGACCCCTGGCTCTGGGGTGAGGGGCAGGGGGCGGGTGGACCCAGAGCACAGCAGTTACCCCGGGCGTGGCTGTCGCCACTCAGCCGCTGACATTTGTGGGCTCCACAGCTGCGGCTCCTCCCTCAGCCCAGAGTCGCGGAGGGTCAAGTGGGAGAGGGCTGGCATCAGATCTTTGGCTCAGGTCCAAATGAGGGAAAGTAGTGATGTCTGAGCACAGGCCTAAGGGATGTGTGTGATATCCCCCCCACCCCCCAATCAGCTCTCTACACTCAAATCACATTTTCACAACTAAAGAGCTGTTTTCTATGCACACCCATCCACCCTTCATTTTCCCTTAACAATATGATTCAAGAAAGAGATTATACTTTCAGATGAATGTTTAATTACAGTTATTAGGAAGTTTGTCATTATGCCAGGGTCCCTGGGGAGATTTTAGCTCATGGAATGAGTTTTCCAGCAATTGATCTAGTTAGAAAATAAAATGCTCCTTTGCAAATAGCCCTTTAAAACCCACCGCTAGTATTATTTTTAAAAGAGATGTTGTCAGTCAGTTCTATAAAGAATCCGTGATTAGTTCAAATACATCTGTTGCTTGCTACTCAGCCATAAACCTGCCGCGTCTGAGATCACGCGTTGGGTGTTTCCCACGCGTGCATCCAAATGCTTAGGAAAAGGGAAAAAAATGTAACACATCTGGTTTTCGAAACAATTCTCATGGAAAATTTTACCCTTGGGGTGGGAAATAATGCAGAGTCAGTCAGCTGGAACCTCACATTCAGTGTACTGGAATGTCATCTCTCTCTGCCTCATCCTTCCCAAGCTGATATCCTAGCTATTCACCTTGCAGTAGCTAATCCCACTGCACACTTTGTACGGTTTGCCATGGAAGCACATGGGGGGGGGGGCTGCAAGGTAGGGTGCCGACGGGGAGAATCAGGGCTGCCTTTGGTGGACGCATCTGTCTGTCCATAGCAGTTAAGTGCACAATGCCATCCATCCGAGGACAGAAGATTAATGAGCTCTACTGTACAACAGCTGATCGCCTGAGAGTGAACATTCTCAGTTAGTGGGTCCACCTGCCCTTTCGTGGCGTGGGTATTAGCTGGGCAGCCTGCCTGCAAGAGTAAGAACATGTGGCTCAGAGAGCCGCACCCTTTTCAGAAACTCTGAGATCCTGCCAAGGTGATAAGTGGAACAGGGAATGTGGCCGGACTCCCTTCCCAAGGCTAGATTCCCAAGTAACGCAGTTTCCCAGGCCTTGGTCTTTGCTTTGCGTCACAGTGAACATTCTCACGGTTGAACGCAGCAAATGGCAAAATGCATCACATCCAAAGAGGTTAAAAAAAAATTTTTTTTTAACATGTATCAAGTCAATTTTGGGAATAGTTCATAAAAAATTGTCAGGGTGGAAAATGTTCGGCTGTGTGAATGTTCCCTGTTAACTGATCTTTAGTCACACGACTACTGATACAGTGGCAGGGACCTGATTGTCCTCGAGGACAGAAAGCACTTACAGCTTGCCCGGCCTTCTGGAAGAACTGGAAAATATGCAAGAGCTTGTGGGATGGCTCTCACTGAGCTCCAGGATGCTTGCCACTACATTAAGCTTCTGAGACCTAAGGCTGCTTATGCGTTTTTTACCTACTAGTAAATCCCTAAATCAAGATTTTTTTTTAATTTTTTTTTAATGTTTTATTTATTTCTAGGAGAGAGAGAGACAGCGTGAGCAGGGGAGGGCCAGAGAGAGAGGGAGTGACAGACTCTGAAACAGGCTCCAGGCTCTGAGCTGGCAGTAGCACAGAGCCCGACGCGGGGCTCGAACCCATGAACCGCGAGATCATGACCTAAGCGAAAGTCGGACGCTTAACTGACTAAGCCACCTAGCGCCCCTAAATCAAGATTTTTTTAACACAAGATGATTAACAGTGCCAGAATTACGTGGTTCCAATAGCTAATCATCTGTGAATTGGATTAATTTATTCAAAGAGAAGTCACTTTTCATCCAGGGATGTGGCATAATGTTCTTTATTGAAGCATCTAAGGATGGGGCGCCTGGGTGGCTCAGTTGGTTGAGCATCCGACTCTTGCTTTCAGTTCAGGTCATGATCTTGTGGTTTGTGAGTTCGAATATTGGGCTCTGCGCTGACAGTGCAGAGCCTGCTTGGGATTCTCTCTCTCCCTCTCTGTCTCTCTCTCTGTCCTTCCTTGCCCCCCCCCCCAATAAATAAACTTTTTTTAAAAAAGCTTCTAATTATAAATATAGAGAACCTGATTTAAAATTCAGAGCAAGACCGATGAAATTATGTTTCCTGTTAGTCTCCAAAGACAGCTGGTCACTAAGGAGCCTCCCTCAGGACCTAGCTTTAGGACCAACTAGAATCTGTTCCCCTGGGCCTTTGTCACTCGCTGGTCCAGGACTCATTTGGAGCTTAGGGCCTTCAAGAGCCACCCTAAGTGAAAGTCAGCGGCTTTGGCTCCCTGGGCCTCCTGGGCTTCGACTCAGCTGGGTGCCCCCTTTTCTGCTTTGCCCAAGGTGCAAAAACTTCCCGAAAGAGCACCTGTGCCAGACAGGGCCTGTGTGTCAGAACTGTGATCTGCTCTCCTCTTGAGCCTAAGTCACGTTTAACTTTCAATTTTGTATATTGTTCCACGGATTATTCTATAGACTTTGCAACCTCTGTACAACCTCACTAGGAGACAAGGAACTCTCTAGAAAAGGAACCAGACCAGGGGCACCTGGGTGGCTCCATTGGTTCAACATCTGCCTTCAGCTCATGATCTCATGGTTCGTGGGTTCGAGCCCCACATTGGGCTCTCTGCTGTCTGCGCAGGGCCTGCTTCACATCCTCTGTCCCCCTCTCTCTCTCTGCCCCTCCCTTGCTCACTCTCTCTCTCTCTAAAGTAAATAAGTTAAAAAAAAAAAAAGAAAAAAAAAGAACCTGACCAGAGCTTATAATTATGAAGCATTGCATGTTTGCTGTGTGTTTTTGTTTGTTTCTGTTACTATGCAAATAGCACAGGTGCAGGAGGTGAAGAGCCACAAATACTGAAGGGTACTTAGGAAAGGACGCTGTTAGTCCCCGTCACACCTCCCAGTGTTAGCCATGGTCACAGTTATGACATCCTTTACTAAGTGTGCAACAAACTCTAAACCCCGCTGCTAAGTGATTTCTTCCCATCTGGCCACTTGATGTTCATCAGACCTGCCCTGGTCCTCTGAAGCCTACGGCTGGTAACTCTGGGTTTATAACTTACTGAATATACGTCCATCAGTTCTTTCACAAACCCACATTTATTCTTGGGAAGTTCTCCCGAAAATTACAGTGACCTGCAGCGCAGAGCCCTCATGGCCCAGATCACCTGCCTATTCTCAGCCAAAGGACGGATGACTTGTACAAACATGAATATCTCATCTCTGTAACCCTTCATCAGAGATTATGTTTTCGTGGCCAGTCCTCAGTGACACCTTCTCTTTTATCTATGGGAGGAAGTATCTTTTAGGAAAGTATCTTAAAAATAATCCGAACGGAACAATGGAAGTACGAACGACAAATGGCTTATTTAGTAACATGTTGCTGGATGTGTAAATGCATCCTTTCTGTCTGATCTCACAGTAAAGGACTTGTCTGGGGACTCTTGCTGATAGGGGAGTTACTTTCTTGAATAGTGTATGAGGTCTCCCTCTTTGTAATTATGAAATAGGACCTGTGCCTGCCTGTGTTGAGGGCCAAGGGCAGCTACCACAGCATTCTGGAACTCCCTGCCTATGTCTCCTACCCTAAAAGAATAGGAAAAGGCCATCTGGCTTTCTGTGGGTTGACCCATAGCAGCAGGTCATCAGAACAGAACAGAACAATGTATCTGTTCCAGTGTTGGATCAAACTCATCTCCAGCATGAATGGCTCTGATACAAGCAGCGTGGTTGATGGTGGCTTAGCTCTTTCACAGAATTATTAAACACTTATCTTAGAAATCTTAGGCATGAATGATTTTATCAAATAGCCGGCATTGCATCACAAATGTCTGGGTGTATCACCTTTCTCAGAAACTTCCTTTTCACATTAATAATATTTATTATATATTTGGGTGGCAGCCTTAATTAGCTGAGGCCCAACCTGGAACGTGTTATACAGTTTAACACTTTGTAGCACAGTCAAGCTCCTGACCCCAAGTTTGGAATTATTGTCAGGCTTGCCCAGGAGAGATGAACTTGGAAGAGCTGAAATGCCCTTAGCCTGAGGAAAAGGAAATGGTGGAGCTATTTTATTCCGACTTTTTTGCAAGAAAGCCAAGGAGCTGATCTTGAAGAGAGTGAAACCTGGGTCTTTTTCATTGAAATTGACCCATGCTTAACAGATCTGTAAGCTAAAAGGTTGCATAATTGGGCCCCTGGCATAGAAGTTTCAGAAAACTCTCTATCCAGGAAGACTTTCACCCAAAGACCTCTAAACAGACCAAAGAATCTTGATTCCATTCTCAACCTGATTAGGGTCGCCCTTTTACCCAAAACATTGCCCAGCAAGGGCCACCCTGGGGAGAAAAAGTAAGACAAGTAATTTTAAAGCATTCTTTCAGGATGACTCACTAATATCATTCCCTTGGATATGGAGGATGGAATTCATTTCTAGAGATTAAAAGTGGCTTCTCTTAGGCAAAGCTTTAAAAAAACAAACAAACCTGGGTAGAATATAATGTCAGGATGTAAATATCTTGGCTCGGTTTGTCCAGCTTTGGGTGGGACAGACCTGGGTTGCCGTCTGTGTTCTGCGCTTCCTAGCAGCAAGAGCCTGGTAGTTGCTCTGTTCTTGCGTGTTCTAGTTCCTGCTCTGTAACACAGGAACATGACGGTATGCACCTAGCGCTGATGCAGGATGCAAGATGCGTCAGCGCTGGCACATATCATCATGTTTCATGCAGGATGCAAGTAACATCGTGCGTCAGCGCTAGGTGCATACCATCGTGTTGCATGCAGGATGCAAGTAACATCATGCAGGTGAACGATTAGCATAGCTGATCTTCGCACACCCTCTGACCCATTAGAAACAATTAGTATTACTTTTCATTACTGGGGGAGGGTTGTTTTTTGGTTTTTTTTTTTTTTTTTTTTTTTTGGTTGTTGTTGTTGTTTTGCTGTGAAAAGGTTTAGAAGCATCATGCCCATCTGGGTCTTCAGAAATTTTTACTTGGGCATCAATTGTTGGTGTTGTGCACCAATGGCAGAGAGCTAGTGTGGCTTCTTGCCATATCACATGCTGCTCCTGGGTGATTACAATAACAACTACCAATAACATTGATTCTGTGGACTCTTTGGCTCTCTTTGGCCACCTTCATCCCAAAGCAATTTTTGAACTCATGCCGTGATGATTAATATTATACTGCTTTAATAACACATTATGTTGATTACTCTGACCCAAATGTGCCTGAAAACATTAAGCCTTAATTTTACTTAATCTGATCTTTGCTAATGCCAGAAAACACCTATATCCAGAGGAACCAAAATTTCAGTCTGCAAAAGGACTGTCATTTGAACTCCTGCTTTCGAGGACCACAAAGTTCTGGTCTTACTGTTGTCAGAGCCATTTAGTGCAGGCCTAAGAACCCCACAGGCTGACTACATTCACAAAGTGGGGCTCGTAGGGACCTATTGATTACATACAAGAATTGATTATATGGTTTTCTGCTTTTTCTTCACTGAGCATTAAATGACTACTCAGTCTGGATCAAACCTATTACCATTACTTTATGCCTAAAATACTTAGACTTAAAAAATAGTGATTTCTTGGTTTGTTTGTTTGTTTGTTTGTTTGAGAGCTAGTGAGCAAGAGCATGAGTAGAGCAGAGAGGCAGAAGGAAAGAAAGAAAAAGACAGAGAGAAAACCCCAATTTTCTCTCAATCCCACGCCTCTGGGATCATGACCTGAACTAAAATCAGGAGTCAGACATTCAAATGACTGAGCCACCCAGGAGCCCAAAAGTAGTGATATATATATATTTTTTTTTTAATTTAAAATCCAAAGATGAAAATCCCAAATGAATCTACTATAAAGTATAAATAAAATTTTTCAAACAAATTCTATACTCAGAAGGATGTGTGTTTCTGAAAAATAAAATATTGCAACACTCTTCTCACTCACCTATGCTTATATAATTTTTAAATACTTTTGGTGTCAAGTTGATTTATTATAGTTATTTATTATAGTTGCACATACATCCTGAGCAGCTTGCTGAGTGTAGTGGTAATTTTCTTATATTCACGTGGTTAGACAGAATGTTTAGGATTTTTAGAAGGTTCTCTAGTTGCTGAATCTTGCAAATGTTAACTGTACTCTTCATGGCTTCAGTCTCAGGGCTATTAAAGTAAAAATTGGTGTTCAGGGGGAGAAAAATCAAAGAGGAATAAATGCTAACAAATAGGCCTTTCTATCCAATTGACAGTCGACTGCGTATAATAGTATAACTTCAGACAACTTACAGGGAAAACTGGAGAGTTTTCAGCAATAAATCTGCCTGTGTTAAGGAGTTTCTCTTTTGTTTTCTTTTTTTAAATGTTTTTATTTTATTTTTGAGAGTGAGAGTGTCTGTGTGTTCATGAGCAGGAGAAAGGCAGAGAGGGAGGGAGACACAGAATCTGAAGCAGGCTGCAGGCTCTGAACCGTCAGCCCAGAGCCCGACCCAGGGACTCGAAATCACGACCGGTGAGATCATGACCTGAGCCAAAGTCAGAGACTTAACTGTGACTGAGCCACCCAGGCGCCCCAGGGGTTTCTAAAATTCAACTTTATTTAAATCCAAACATATAGCCAAAGTATCTTAAATTCTTCCCAAATGTGGCTGACCATTTTTATCTATGTGCACTTGTGTTTAGGGGATTAACTAGATGGTTGTAGGATCACGACTGACTCTCCACATGATGGATGAGGTAGTGTCCTGCTGCCCTTGGCATGAGAGCTTTATCAAGCAGGAGGGATTGGCTCTGAGAGTAAGGGTTCTGTGTTCCCAAAGTCGAGACAGTCTGCATCCAGACAAGACTGAGAGAGCTTTGATTCTACCTGCCTCATAAATGCACCAAACAAGATTGCCCAGAGACGGTCTGGGAGCTCATGATGCACTTAGTGTTTTCTGTCCGATCGGAAGAGATGAGCTCATGGGGCTTTTATTATCCAGGTACCATAATTGATTCAGTATTTAATTCACTTAGACAAACCTTTCTGGTATTAGTGTCTGTGCTAAAATGTACTAAGATAGCAATTGTGATTTTGAAATCTGCCTTCAAAGGGCAGGATGGCTTTTAGAAAATATAAAATCTTCTAAGTTAGGCGTAAGCAGATTAGGGCTAAAAATCCCATGTTCATTTATGAGACCTGTTTGTGTACTTCCCATGGGCTGAGCATTGTGTGAAACACTGGAAATCAGGAGTGGATAAGGTTGTGTCTTCCACCCACCCTCGCCCCTGAACTTTACCACGGTGGTGGAGTGATCAGGGGCGGCACAAGAACACAAGGAGGTGCCGTGGTTATTGGTGCTGTTGGTGCAGCGGAAAGGAGGGGCAGGGTGATTCCATCTCAGAGGACCATGAGGAAGCCTTCATGAACACGTTAAGCATTCACTTTTGGTTTTGGTTATTAAAGCTCAGCATGCCCTTCCCCACACGGCCATACTGATCCATACAGTCACAGTATGGCCACCTTATGTTTATAAGAGACACAGAGCCTATTTTTAGTCCCTTCTGGCTCAAAGGCTGGTATTAAAATGACAGCATATGTCGGTGAGTGTTCCGATCTTGCTAGATCTGCATCCCCAATCACAGCTCTGGGCGTCTGAAGTCACACGGAGCGTCCTCGCAGCCGCGGCTTCCGGGTTCCCTGTGGCCTCCTGCAGCATCCTCCCTTCTTTCTTTTTTATAATTTTTTTTTTTTTAATTTCTGAGAGAGAGAGACAGCGTGAGCAGGGGAGGGTCAGAGAGAGAGGGAGTCACAGACTGAAACAGGCTCCAGGCTCTGAGCTGGCAGTCAGCACAGAGCCCGACGCGGGGCTCGAACCCACGAATCGCGAGATCATGACCTAAGCGAAAGTCGGACGCTGAACCGACTGAGCCACCCAGGCGCCCCTGGCATCCTCCCTTCTGCTTCTGGGCCTGGAGCACCAGCCTGAGTGCCAGCCTCCCTCCTGTTCTGACAGGCCCTTGGGCGTCTCGGCCCCAAGAGCCTGACGACCCCGTGGCTCCATCCCACTAACTGTTTAGACTTCGCACCTGCTCCACACCCACTGCAGTAGCCCCTTGGACACAGCCTGGCACCCCCTTGATGCCAGGCTCCCCTCCTCTTCGGGCCTAAAGAATACCCTTGCACGAGCTGGCAGAGCCGACTCCGCGTCCCCCCTGCAGGTGGCGGAAAACCAGCCGCTGTTCGGCGCGCTCAGGACGCTGCTGGAGGACCTGCACGCCGAGCTGCGCGAGGACGAGCGTGCGCGCAGGCGGCTGCAGCAGCAGTACGCCCGCGACAGGGCCGCCTGGGACGTGGAGTGGGCGGCGCTCACGTGCCGCCTGGAACAGGTACCTGCCCGCCGCGGCTCCGCAGCCCCGGCCGTGTCTGCGCCAGGCGGCCGGAAGGCACGGCACCTCGGATCCCCGGTGATCCTTGTCCGAAGAGATCATCGGGTCCCGGCGAAAGCTGGTGATAGCTGCCTTCTCTCTCCCTCCTTCTCTCTCTCTCCTCTCTCTCTCTCTCCTCTCTCTCTCTCTCCTCTCTCTCTCTCTCTCCTCTCTCTCTCTCTCTCCTCTCTCTCTCTCTCTCCTCTCTCTCTCTCTCCTCTCTCTCCTCTCTCTGTCTCCTCTCTCTCTCTTCTCTCTCTCTCCCCCTTAAAATTCCCAGCCTTCCCGAGGCACCTGATTCCCCCTTCCCAGTCCCTCTCCCGAGAAGGAAACACAGCCTCCACTGGACGCCTTTGGACAGTAGCATTTGTTTCCCCATTCTGCACTGAACAAGGCGGTACTTAGCCCCGTCGCAGGATGGCCTAGCACGAAGTGGTGATCAGAATACGCTGACATAGTTCAGACACAAACAAAGAAAATGCAGATCGTGGCTTAGTTATCTCTGGAAAAGGGAAACATGTGCATTCTTTTAGATTTCTCTGAATACTGAAGAGAGCTTGTAGACCTTCCACTACGTGCCCTGGAAGTCTGATCAGTTTCCATGTCCTTATATCCCCTGGAAGAAGCGGCTGGTCTCAGATCATGGAGCCTTCAGTGCTTGAGAGTAGAGAACGGGGTCCTGCCTGCACCTCCCAACAGAGCAGAGCCTCCTCTGAGATTTTAGACCATGGCCATGGTTCTTAAAGTCACGGTTCTCCAGAAACATCCTTTTCTAAGCATTTTCTCCCTGGAAATCCTTAAAAACCAAAATCACCCCCTGCCCAGAGTCTGCTCGCTCAGGTTGTTTCTCCAGATTTCTTCCAGCCCCTTGATCATGATGGGAGGCCATCTGTGCATCTTTGATAATCGACTTTCTAGGTCCTATTTTGAGGCGAATCTTAAACTAAATAAATTTTATATGAATTGGCCAGGTCATGAAAGACAAAGAAATTGGCCCAGAATGGAGACGTCTTCCAAATGGCCTTGGTAAGAGATGAAAGGGCCTGTCATGTCAAAAGCAGACAGCTTGCCTGGTACACCCACAAGTTCAAGTGCATTGCCAGCTGACCCAAGGGAGCAGTGGTGTCAGGCTCGTAGCCCCAGGTAGAGCGGAGACACGGCCTTCTCTGCAGAAGCAGCAGCAAAGCATAGCAAAGCCAAAGCACCAGGCCAGGTTGGTGGAGCCGCTGACCCAGTTATGAATCCTGCCTCCTTGCCCGGTAGGAGATTCTTACTAGCTGCTCTGTTTATCTCAGTGCACAGCCTGAAGAGTCAGCAGTGGAGGAAAAATGAGTAAGGATGCTCTCTGGTGAGCTGCCTCTACACCTATTTTAAAATATGTTTGTGGGGGAGAAAGCTAAATATTTTCAAAGATGTAAGTGTAGGTGTAGCTAAAGGAAGGAGGCCTAATCTTTGAGATGAGGCCGATTTCAAAATATTTCAGCTTTGTTTTAGAGAAACCTGGCATCCACCCACACATGTGCTACACATACAGCCTCCGGAAGAGTCACTAAACACCAAGAAATAAAAATAGGGCTTCAAACCTAGAAGCCAGGTGGTACTAGGTAAAGACTCATCTTCTGCCCAAATCGTTGAAGAAGTTTCTGAGACATTTGCAGCCCCAGAAGCAATGAACGCAGGCCGAGGCTAGATCACTTATAATACTCCCATCTTCACTCTCTTCTGCTTAAAGGCAAAACAAGTGAATTCTACCAAAAGTTAAGTATTGCATCCCAGTGGAGGCCATATTGTGTCAATGCCCAAATTTGTGATTCCTTCACTTACCTGCCAACTGAGACCTTGTTCTAGATGCCGACAAATAAGATATTTCTTGAAGGGGCTCTCGATGCAATGGGAGACCCAGACAAGGGTGCCAACTTAAAATAGTGTGCTAAGTGCCTCACCAGGGCTATACACAGTGGCACCGGGGAGTAGGCGTGTGCAGGGCACACACCCCAGCCTGAGGTTTCAGGGAGGGGGTGGTCATGAAGGTCCTTAGAATGAGTCTTGGAAGATGAATAAGAGTGGGAAACATGGGGAAAGAGAGAAAGGATGTTTCAGACCCTGCCAAAAATGGATAATACAGGACTGGCCAGGGATTAAGGTCTGAGCCTCTTCTCCTTGCCAGCTGGAAGAGAAGACGGAGAAGAACTTGGGAGAACCAGGCTCCTCCACCGACAGCAAAGGGGCCTTCAAGAAGGAGAGGGAGACACACCAGAAGCTCCTCGCCGACAGTCACGGCCTGGTCATGGACCTGCGCTGGCAGATGCATCACAGCGAAAAGAACTGGAACCGAGAGAAGGTGGAACTCCTCGAGCGTCTAGACAGAGACCGGCAGGAGTGGGAGCGACAGAAGAAGGAGCTCTTGTGGAGAATAGAGCAGGTAAGGGGGCACCCGGGCACCAGCGAACAGGGAAGAGGGTACACACACAACTAAACTGACCTGGAAATCAGAGCCCTCGGGAGAAAACAAATCGGCCTATTGCGAGGTCCTTACTACATCAGGACGTTTCACAGGCTTCCAAAGGAAGTGGAAAAAAATAGCAGAATTTCTAGCATGGGAGACCCAGACTCGGCCCTGTTAGTATACAGATCTTCTCATCCCAAAGCCTGTGGGTCACCTCCTTATGTGTATATGTGTGCTATTTCTGTGGTCAGGGCTGGGGGGTAACTTTTTAAAGGAAGGTAAAGACTAAACTTGAAAGATGAGGTTATTTCAGGTCTTAACAAGGTGATTCCTGCCAAGAAGCAAACTACCTTTGAAGTTGGACACTAAAGATGTCACAGTGACTGCTCCAACTTGAATGGAATTGCTGTCCATTAGGAAAGGAATTGCTGAATTAAGTTTTGGAAATCAGGCTGTTTGCACCTGCTGTGGATCTTGCTGAGCTGTGATTAGGTAGGACTGTCATCATGGAGGGAGCTGGTAGCTCCCCACTTTCAGCTAAACAAATGATTCCAGCACCCAGATGGATTCGGTGGGGGAGGGGGAGTTGTTTTTCTACCTTCCAGATAATCACTGTCTACACTGCGTCAGACTTAGGACAGTTTGCATAGCTGCCATCATGCCTGAGTGATGCACAAATTAAATTTTCACATTAAACTGATGAAGGCTTGGAATTCTTCCCTGGCTGGATCTTTACATAGCATATGTGTATTTTTTTATTTCTTTCAGCCAGTCACCCTTATAAATTTATGAGGCCTCAAGGAAATGTATTAATCAATAAGAAACCAAGTTCAGGAAAAAGAACCTTATTACTCTATTACAAATACTGCCGGCATTTATGTGAGAGCCTTTTGAAAAATGTGCTCTGTCATCCCCAGATGTGGTACCTGTGTTATGCAGGTGCAATGGCCAGGGTTAGTTTCTATATGCTGTCAGGGAAGAAGAGAAAATGAACAAGCTAAAAAAAAAAAAACCACCAAAAAAACCCCAGGAGCCCTTGGCTCAGAAAGCATTAAGAAAAAGGCACACTGGGCCTGGGTGGCTCAGTCGGTTAAGCGTCCGACTTCGGCTCAGGTCATGATCTCACGGATCGTGGGTTCGAGCCCTGCATCAGGCTCTGTGCTGACAGCTAGCTCAGAGCCTGGAGTCTGTTTCAGATTCTGTGTCTCCCTCTCTCTGACCCTCCCCTGCTCATCCTGTCTCTCTCTTTCAGAAATAAATTAAAAAAAAAAAATTAAAAAAAAAAAGAAAAAGGCACACTGCAGATAGAAAGGGGCAGAACTTCTTCCTCGATTTGATTACTCACACAACTGAGTCACCATACTGATATCTGACGTGGCTCCTTTCAAAATTCCCCAAATTCTATCAAAGGAAAGGTAACCACTTCCTGTTTGGCCTAGAAAGGCATCATCTGAGAAGAATCTTCCTTATTAAATCCTCTGTGTGCCTGTGCTCTGCTGAATGGATCAGCTGTTGGGTGGAAATTGCGAAGGCAAAAATAGCAGGTGTTCTTGCAAAATGGTCATTGATTTATCACATCCAGCTTCAGTTAACCACTATCTCTGTAACTCCAGGCACCTGTTATCAGAGGTTTCCTTGTGGCCTTCCCTCCAGGAGCGCTCACTTATGTCCCTCCTGTACCACACTAAGACTGTCACGATCCCTGCCATGTCCCCTCTGGGGTCCCCTTTGCCTGTTAGCCATGGGCTCCTTGGTCCTGTCACTGCCGCTCTTTAGAAGTCACGCCCTGGCTGTCATTTAAATAAGCCTTTTAGGGTTTGGGAATGAAAAACTCCTAGTAAAGGAAAAAATAGTAAGACATCTGATGACATTCAACTTTGGAAAAGAGTTCATGGCCAGGGAGGAGCAGTCGCCCCATTTTAAGAAACAGTATTTTGAAAGATAAGAGTGGACAAGTACTGAACCCCATTTCTGACTCATGTCAGTGTTCCATGCAATTCTGCAAGACAAAATTCCATGCAAGACTGCAGCAATTCTACCAAGCTGACAGCCTCAGAACTTCAGTCCCCAAGGTTAACATCGCTGAACATAATGGATTCAAGACACACGGGTGCCAGGCCGTCATCTGTTCCCGAAACCTGTGCGGTGGGTCCCACCGGCTTTGTGCAATGATCTCACTGCTGTTTTTAGAAAAGGATTTGTTGCCAGTGAATGATGCTTCAGATATGCGGTTGTGGCTTTCAAAAATAAATCTGGCCCTTTCCTCCAAATGTGCAACATCTTAAAAGACGATTTTATAAGCCTTGGTACCCAATCCTGAAAATTGGATAAAGCAGTTATAGGTGTTCTCCGTAAAAAAGGAAATTGACTGAAGTGTGTGTATGTGTGGAGATTTTGTTTATCCTTCGTTGAACTTTTAGCCCCACATTCCATAGATAAACAAGAAATAGAAGTGAACATTCTTCATCATGTGGTGAGCCATGTAACCTTGACTGTGATCACCCTAACACAGTTGGTGAAGGAAGTAACACTAAATCCATTTTCCACTTTCAGAACACATGCTTCATACTCGTCTGGTGTCATTAAATTCCGACATAATTTCTGTGTCACATGAGGCATTTTATATGATGGATGACTGTGGGAATGTGATTAAGGTCATATAACGCATATCATCTGTCTTATCCACATCTCTTGTCCGGGTCCAGCTTTGACTGGGTGATAGATAGTTAACTTTTATGGAGTCACACTACATTTCTCCTTAGAATTCAGTTCCCGGTTAACATGCAGATGATACAGGACCCGCCACTGTACTGAAGAGCTACAGGAAAGACCCTGTGTCATTCCGTTCTCCTTCCAGAAACTTCCTTAAATCAGCTGCGTCTACAACCTTGAAAGGCTGTTCTTTTAAAAGCTGTTCAGAGTGACCTTTTTTTTCTTTTGACTGTGGGTGAGGTGACACCGCTGAGGGGTGATTGTTTCCTGTATTCCTCGAAATGCAAATCTTTTCCATTTTCTGTTTGCGCTAAAAGTTGTTCATACCGCAGGATTCTGAGTACAGTAGGTGCTGATGGCTGGTTTGAAATGGCTCTCTTAGGAAACCCGATCCTTTTAAGGACCCATTATTCTATTACAACACCCCAGAGGCATCTTACAGCAGAAACCTCCAGCCAACCCATTCCAGTTCATTTTTAGGAAACCTAACACTTCCCGGCTTCAGTATACATTGCTCCTGGCTGCCTGGGTTTATTTTTGAATCCCCACTTTGCTGAGTTAGAATGTGCTGGTTCAAAGCTCTCCTCCTTAGTCATTCTTTCCTCCCCTTCACACACACCCTCGGTGCACATTTACAGCTTTGAATGTGATTCTTGCGTTTTAATTCTCGCCCAAAATAGCTTAGGGATGATCATGTGTTGAAACTAAATTGCGCTGACATGCGTTAGATGAACATAATAAAAAGCTTTCCCTTTTTGTTGTTTGGTTTTGGTTTTTGGCTTTTTTTTTTTTTTTTTTTTACGAAAACATTAACATCTTTAAGAGAACTGAGAAGAATTGTGTCTCAGAGTTGAGAGCAGAGGGGCTGGAGTTGAAACCCAGAGTGATGGGCTTGTTCCTTAATTCAGCTGTGACCGTTCCTCAGACTCTAACATTTAAGTTCTGTCTACTTGAATCTCCATCTTTCTCAGAAAATGAAGATAATCACCACCTCAGAAATTACTAAAAATGAGGAAAAGTCCCTTGTCCCCGTTCTTTCACATGGCTTTGTTCCTGACGATGCAAAGGCCACGTATACCTCCCACTCATGGATGAAAGCGTCAATGAGGACACAGAGGTGTAGCTGGTGAAATATGCTGCTAAAAAAATAAATTAATGCTTCCAAGGGAGTCTTGGAACTTCCTGGCACTGCCCCCGTACTTGAGGACTGAAAATCTTTCTTCTTTGACAAATCCAAATGTCACTTTCGCCCTTGAGATAATTTTCTTGTTCCGAAGAGCAGCCAACACGCTAGAGCATGTGAGCGGGTCACCCAGTAAAGACCCCAGCGGAGTCGGAGTCATGTAGGTGGAAATAGCCTCAGGCCTCAGCTGTGCTTTCTGCGCATGTTTCGAAAGGAAGGCGGTGAGGAAAGCTCCAGAAAGTCCAGAGGGAAGCGATCCGTTAGGGCTTCCCCAGGGAGTGAGCCTCGGCCCTGCACACCATTTCTCTGCCTGTCCCTGTGATTTCACATTGGCCCCCTTCCTAAACGGCTCCACGTGGTTAGTTCTAGTGCCGTAGACAGGCAAGACGTGTATCAGTGCTCCCAGGCCCGAGCGAGGTCAGTGGTGGTCTTGGCGACAAGCAGTAAGCTATACAGTGGGCCCAGTGCCTGCGGGCTCTCCTTGCCGGTGCAAGGCCCCTGCACTGCTCCCCTCCACTGCGGGAAGCTGTGCTGTCCCCTTTTCACAGATGGGGGACACAAGCCACAACACAATGGCTCCAACTCGGGCCTCCCTAACTCCAGGGGGTCCTGCATGTTCCCCACTATTGCTTCTCGAGTTTCCCAAGTCAGGCAAAAAAAAAAAAAAAGTATGACTCTAAAGTATATGGCGTATTTTTCTTTTTTTTCAGTCAGATCAGATTTTTAATCGACTTTATAGCTAAGCTATAACCCCCTCAAGCAAAGTGGAAGTTTGTTTTTGACACCCAGTGGTACCACCCAATTCGATCACTTGCCTTATGTAGAGGTCCCATCCCAAATGACAGTATTATAATTAGGAAACCTGCTGGTTAGGAGAATCAAATTCACCTTCAGAAATTCGCTATCACTGATGGTTTTCCATTGAGGGTGCCTTAAGTTCTAAAGGTATAAAGGGAATTCTAAATATGTCATTTAACAGTGTTCAATTTTTTTAAATAAATGTATAATTTCCTGTGAGCAGTACGCCAAGTTACACATAGGAATATATATATACATATATATTCTCGTCAGAAGGAGTTGGCTTCTGGTGTGTGTGGTTAATGCAGATTTTCCCGTCCAGATAAAATTGTGATTTTTTTTAAAAAAAGCATCTGTAATGTTGTGTTACTTTTGAAATTAAGGTCAGACCTTTAAGAACACTTACTTCTCACAGTCTTTCCGATGGGCCCAAATGTAATTCCAAATGGGAGAGAAAGAGTGGCCTTAGGGAGAGCAAAAGAAAAGTGAGGCTAACTGTTTACATGTTTAAAACCCTCAAGTTGCAGAAAGAGAACAGCCCCCGGAGAAGCGGCAGTTTCCTCTGTGATCCAAAAGAAGGCAACATCCGCCCCTTTGCCCACCCGGGAAGCCCCCGCATGCCCCGCCCCTTGGGGGTGTGGCCCTGCGCAGACACAGACTCCACCCCATTTGAAGACCGGCCGCTGTCCAAGCTGAAGGAATCGGACAGGTGTTCAGCACGGGAAAATCTCTACCTGGACGCCTTGTCCCTGGATGACGAATCAGAGGAGCCTCTGGCCCGCGGGCCCCAGCGGGAGTTCAGGAACTGCCTCCCCCAGGTCGGCTTGGGATTTGGGGTCCAGTTAACTTCTGCAGGACCGGGGGGGGGGGGGGGTTGTCAGGAAACCTGGCCGTGTGGTCTGCAGGCTCCAAGGCTTTGCACGAGGCGGTGTCTGGGTTGGGTATACATGAAACGTTCACACTTAAGAGCTTTGCTTGGTGGTCTTGACCCCAGACTCCTAGCATGCGCTGTGGTCGAGTGCACTCTGCCACCACGTCTGGGGTTTGAAGACACAGGACTGTGTCCTCTGTGAACGACAGGCCCTCCCACATGAGCAGGTCCAGCAAAACACACAGGAGACAGTTCATTCTGGGAAGCATAGGTCTTCAACCTCTCTTTAAATCATAGCAGCCTTCTGATTCTAAACGACTTGCTGGTAACAATAAAATCAGCTCTAAAGAAAGTGCTCACATTTGGAAATAGTAAGTGTCACTGAACAATGACGTGCTATAAATTCTTGTTCTGTGCAAAGGGGAAAAAACAATCCAACACTGAGAAGCCAGGCGTAAATTAGATCAGCAAATCTGTGAGCTAAGCTCTGGGCTGAAATTTCCACGTGCAACATTAGGTTTTCCTGGCCACACCCTTTCAACAACTAGGTTTTAAAACCGGGTTTGTTTTTAGGAATCATTACATGTGGGTCAGTTTAAAAGTTGCTGTACCTGTCATTGAACCTGTCCCAAACACTTACCAGACTTCAAAGAGTTCTCATCAAGTGGTGTTGAAATGTGGGTCAGTCATACTTGAGTTAGGTGTCTGTGAGGTCATGTACCTTCTCAGCAGCATGTAGCCAGGTGGCATGACATCACCAATACGCCACCCTGTTTGATCTATCAGCAACTCCCGTGGTGTAGCCGCACAGCAGAGAGAAAGCAGACCGGGGTGGGGAGCCTGCCCTGTCCCAGCTCCAGAGTGACCGGGGCCCCACATTGATTGGTACAGAGCGGAAGTCGTAAGTTCACCTCTGATTCCAAATGGCCATGCTTACAACCAAGAAAGTACTCACACCTAAGAAGGTTGCATCAACTTCTACAGCGAGGCTTAACCCAAACACACACACACACACACACACACACACACACAGGCTCCTTCCAGGACTGCGGGAGCTCCAATCGCTCATCACCCTGTGGGTTCTGGTTTTTATTATTGTAGTTCAAAGGGCTGAGCTCTCCCAACCCAAACTTGGCCTTGGTGTGAATTTTAAATGGTATTTTCTTATGGAAGAAGAGCAAAACTTAGCAAGTCGCAGGTGCCTAGGTAGCCAGTTTTAACTGACTCAGACGATCTTATTTCTCCTTTATAGGAAGAAGAAAACCACAAGGGAAATCTTCAAAGGTAAGGAAGATTGATGAACAACACTAGTCAGGCTACTGAAATGAAAATCTTTTGGTCTTATAACTCTGTCTTGTCACTGCAGTCATGATATAACACTGTCTTCGAAATGACTTAAAGTAAGACTTCTGAGTAAGTAGTTGCTTTATTATGATTGATTCCATAAATATGGTTATTTTATGTCATTCACCACAGAAGAGCTGGAGACATGCTGTACTTGTGTGGGTGTTAGTGTCATGGTGAGAACAGTTACAGTTGTGTATTGTGTATATAAAGGAATGTTGTGTTCAGTGGGTTCTGAAAAGCCCAGAAACCCCTCTCTTCTCATTTAGTCTCGAAAGACTCTTTTTTGATGTGCTGCGAGGCATTTTATATACTGTGCACTTAAAGCTTTCCCAGGAGGATTTATTAAGATATTTCCTGGCAGTCAGGGTGCCCGGGTGGCTCAGTCAATTAAGCATCCGACACTTGATCTCAGCTCAGGTCTTGATCTCAAGGTCGTGAGTTCAAGCCCCTCACTGGGCTCTTCACTGGGTGTGGAGCCTACTTCAAAAAAAAAAAAAAAAAAAAAAGAGAGAGAGAGACAGAGAGAGAGATTTCCCAACAGTAAACTTTGAAGTAAATACAAAGTAAGTGCTGTCGGTGGTGTTACTTATCATATATATTAGGCCATACATGTGATAGGATGTATCTGAAACAATACATCTAAGCAAATTTGTTTAAATTTAGACATCAAAAATACACAACTGTGCGGAAAGTACAAAGGTTTCCTGTACACAAGCCCCTGCCCCCAGCCCCACACACGTGCTTTTTCTTTATAGATGAATGCATGCTATTTCCACCACAGGAAATGTCTCCTCGGGGCAGTTCGCGGTTTCCAGATCTCTCCATCCCTGGTTTTCCTGTAAACTTCAAGTCCATGAACTACTGTCTCCTTCCCATTTTGGCCCATATCTGTTCGTCCCAAATCACCCAAAACCGCTGAGGCACGTTTCTGTCCTTCAGGCTCCGGCCTCACCATCATTCATGGGTTTTGCGGAGGAGTGGCCCACGTACTCTCCGTCCGGGACCCCGCTTGACAGCACCTGTGCTGGTCTAGAACCCTAGGGATTTAAACTTCTGTTCAGGGTGTGAGGATATGAGTATGTCCCATGAGGAAGTGGTCTGGCTGCAGAGGCAGTGAGCCTGCACACTTCTTCCGTCCCCTCCCCCTGCCTCATCAGGAGGGATTTCTGACCAGGGGGTCCAAACCTGAGTGGGCAGGCATGGCCAGCCCCACACCTCCTTCCTGGCCACCACTTCTTTGCCCTCGGAGGTGGGGGGTGTGACAAGCTGCCTGAGCACTCCAGCAGCCTCCTGTCTTAGCATTTTGGAATCCCCATAACCTCACAAAAAACAGGCTTGGCCCTAACGGAGGGAGCAGGCAGGGAAGGGACACCCGAGCCCTGCTGGTGGATTTGGATGGGACCAACCAGATGGAATTTCTGCTTGGTGGTATTTGCACATTCTGTGCACACCTGTCACACCGTCCACTTCCCTGCTTTCCTCCATTTGGCCTCCGCAGATTACACTGAATACAGTTGAGCCTTGAACAACATGGATTGAACTACATGGCTCCACTTAGTTGTGGATTTTTTCCAGTAAAGACAGTACACTACTGTAAATGTATTTTCTCTTCCTCATGGCTTTCTTTTCTTTTTTTTTTTTTAATGTTTATTTACTTTTGAGAGAGAGAGACAGACAGACAGAGGCATGCGCGGGGGAAGGGCAGAGAGAAATACAGAATCTGAAGCAGGCTCCAGGCTCTGAGCTGTCAGCACAGAGCCCCGTGCAGGGTTCATGCTTACAGACGGCGAGATCATGACCTGAGCTGAAGTCCGACGCTTAACCGACTGAGCCACCCAGGTGCCTCTCATGGTTTTCTTAATAACGTCTTCTCTTCTGTTGTTTCCTTTATTATAAGAATACAGTCTTAAATACATATGCAAAATGTGTTAATCGAGAAGGCTTCGTTCAACAGTAGGCTATTAGTTAAGTTTTGGGGGAGTCCAAAGTTATACATGGGTTTTTTTGTTGTTGTTGTTTTTTAATTTTTTTTAAGGTTTTTTTTTTATTTATTTCTAGGAGAGAGAGAGACAGCGTGAGCAGGGGAGGGTCAGAGAGAGAGGGAGTCACAGACTGAAACAGGCTCCAGGCTCTGAGCTGGCAGTCAGCACAGAGCCCGACGCGGGGCCCGAACCCACGAACCGCGAGATCACGACCTAAGCGAAAGTCGGACGGACGCTTAACCGACTACGCCACCCAGGCGCCCCTATACATGGGTTTTTGACTGCATGAGGGCCGGATCCCCTAACCCCCAGATGTTCAGGGGTCCGCTGTGCTTCACTAGAAGTACATCCAGTAGAGAATGAGGTCAGTGGGTGAGCAGGACCTCGGATTATAGCCCGGATGTTGTGGTGTCCACCCCCTGCCTGTATACCATCGGCTGGCTTGGGATCAGGACGGGGCTGTGTTCCTGTCACGCCACAAGTACCTGCCCCAATGCCTAGAACTCTGGAAACTCCTGGTAGGTTAGGAATTGAAGGTGCTCATCATCCACGTTTCCTTCTTCCTGTGGAGCATCCACAGGCCAAAACGAAACCATTCCAAAGGGGGTTCGGAGCTTAGCGCTGACGGGCCTGGAGCCCTGCCTCCCTCCCACTTGTTCCCATAGTGTTTGAGGGTCACCTGTATTAAATTCTGACTCACACAAGGCTTCCGGAACCATTCCAGAACCACGAAAAGTCCATTAAACATCCCCAGGGGCAGCTCAGGAGTGGAGAACATCAAACAGCTAGAGAGCGTTCTAGTCGTTCAGGTGGAGACTGACACACAGCAGGCACCCGTCCTGTGGGCAGGACACGCGTGTCGCGCGGGGCCCGGGGACAGCGGGTCAGCCAACACCCCCTTCTCTCCCGTTTTTCCCAGGGCTGTGTCCGTGTCCTCCATGTCTGAGTTCCAGCGTCTGATGGACGTCTCTCCTTTCCTGCCGGAGAAGGGCCGGCCGGCTGCCGGCAGCAAGGAGGACATCACCCCGCCCCTGTCTCCTGATGACCTGAAGTACATCGAGGAGTTCAACAGCAAGAGCTGGGATGAGCATCCCCCAGAGCCCTGGGCAGACAGGACCGAGGTGGGGCGGGCAGGGAACGAGGCCAGCGCCGAGCCTTTCCCGGACTCCTCCTGGTACCTCACCACGAGCGTCACCATGACCACGGACACCATGACCAGCCCCGAGCACTGCCAGAAACAGCCCCTGCGGAGCCACGTGTGCGCCGAGCAGGCCGGGGTGCGGGTGCTGCACAGCCCGCCTGCGGTCCGGAGGGTGGACAGCATCGCGGGGGCAGGTGGCGAGGCCAAGGGCCGCTCAGAGCCCGAGTGCCCGTTTCCCACTAGCAGAGCCAGGGGGGGCACTGGAGACTCCAAGGGGGGCCCCCCAGAACATGTGCTTAGCAGGTGGCCCTGTGCCCCCAACAGGCACCCCCGAGACTACATGGAAGGAGGGCTGCGGCCCCTCGAAAGTGCCCTCTGCGCCCCCCTGGGTTTTGCCTCCCCCCTGCACAGCCTACAGATGTCCAAGAACATGAGTGATGACATGAAGGAGGTGGCCTTCTCTGTCAGGAGCGCCATGTGCTCTGGTCCCCCCAAGCCTCCTCTCAAGGACATGGCCTGCCAGACCAACGGGTCCCAGACGACAGGGACACAGACCGTCCAGACCATCAACATTGGTCTGCAGACCGAAGCCCTGCGCAGCAGCGCCATCACCAGCAGCCCCCACAAGTGTCTCACGCCAAAGGCGGGGGGTGGCGCCACACCCGCGTCATCTCCTTCCCGCGGCCTTAGGAGCAGGCAGGTGGCTCCCGCCATCGAGAAGGTGCAGGCCAAGTTCGAACGCACATGCTGCTCCCCCAAGTACGGGTCTCCCAAGCTGCAGAGGAAGCCCCTCCCCAAAGCCGAGCAGCCAAACAGCAGGACCTCTCTGGGGCTGGCCCCAAAGGGGTGCAGCGAGTCGGCTTGGGCCCGCTCCACCACCACAAGGGAGAGCCCCGTGCACACCGCCATCAACGATGGCCTCTCCAGCCTCTTCAACATCATCGACCACAGCCCCGTGGTGCAGGACCCCTTCCAGAAGGGGACGCGGGCCGGGAGTCGGTCTCGCTCAGCAGAACCTCGGCCGGAGCTGGGCCCAGGCCAGGACACCGGCCCCAGTTCCCGGGGACGGTCGCCGAGCCCCATCGGGGCTGGCTTAGAGACGTGGAGGGAGGACGGGGGAGAGGGCACGCCCTTGAGGCAGGACTTATCTGCTCCCCCTGGCTACACGCTCACGGAGAACGTAGCTCGGATCCTCCACAAGAAGCTGTTGGAGCATGCCTTAAAGGAGGAGAGGAGACAGGCCCCCCACGGGCCCCCCGGTCTTAACAGTGACAGCCACATGGGAGATACGGTCAGAGCTGAACCAGGGTCCATCGAGGTAATGAGGCTGAGTATTCCAACCCTCACCCTACCAGCTCTTCTGTTTAAATGCCAGGAAAACACGTGTAAGCCGGGGATTGTGCTAGGTCCTCCAATTTCAAGAATCTTTGTCCATAACAGGCTCTTGTGAGCTCGGAAGATACAGAGTTTATGGGAGACTGGAAGAGACAGACACACAAGCCCTGAGCTACTTCTAAAGAAAAGTTTATTTTATTATCCTCAGAAGATCACTGAGGACAATAAAATGAACTTTTCTTAAATACATAGCTGAGGGTTTGATTTAGGTTTTCTCGTCTGACCTAAGTGATGGATGCTCGTGGGTTCTTCACGTGGGGTTATAATTCGCCCTCTTTCTCTGTGTGAATTTGTGTCCTAGATTTGTGCGTGTGTGAAGTCTGTGCTCCATCCAGATCTTTATCTGTGATAACACAAAAGGTGTGCCAGAGAGGGTGTGGTAGTGTGAGTGTTAGAACATTCCTCAGCAGGGACATTTGAGAATGTCTGGATTCCAGTGCTGGCTTCACTATAGAATAGCAGTCTTCTGTGCTCCCCCAAATTCCATGCCCTCTGCGACCATGGATCTCCCCAGCAAAAACCAGGTGAGGCAGATGGATAAGATCAAAATCCTGCCTTCAGACAATGTGATTATTACTATTCCTCTTTTCCTCACGTATTATCATCACATTATATATGACCACACATATTGTCACCTGTTATTATTATGCAATTATTATTACATCCCCCTTAACACTCACCAGTCAACCTTGAATTTTGTTCTTTTTTTTTTTAATTTTTTAATATTTATTTATTTTTGAGAGACAGAGTGTAAGCAGTGGAGGGTCAGAGAGAGAGGGAGATACAGAATCCGAAGCAGGCTCCAGGCTATCTGCTATCAGCACAGAGCCTGACCTGGGGCTCAAACTCACAAACCGTGAGATCATGACCTGAGCCGAAGGCAGACGCTCAACCAACTGAGCCACCCAGGCGCCCCGGAATATTGTCCTTTTTTATTTAAGCTTTTTTTTTTTGGGGGGGGGGGGGAGAAGGAGAGAGAGAGAGAGAAAGAGAATGTGTGTGTGTGTGTGTGTGTGTGTGTGTGTGTGATAGAGAGAGAGAGTGAGAGAGAGCAGGGCAGGGCAGAGGAAGAGAGGGAGAGAGAATCCCCAAGCAGGCTCCACGCTCAGTGCAGAGCCTGACATGGGGCTTAAACTCCTACATCATAGATCATGACCTGAGCCAAAATCAAGAGTCAGACACTTAACTTACTGAGCCACCCAGGCGGCCCTGATTTTTGTTCTGATGCATATCCACATGCGGTATGTCCATACCATACCACTGTAAAAAACAATCCCCATTTCCACTTCATGAATGAACAAAACAAAACAAAGCCTGACAGTAATGTTGGGACTGGAGGGGTGAAGGCGCCAGCCTCATGCCGTGAGGAAGCACGTGCCCCCTGCCCTCAGTCAGACACTGTTTGGCCAGTGATCTCACGTGTAGACTTGAGGGTGAGGCTGACTCACACCAGCCCAGATGGACGGACTCCACACAGACTCCACACCTGTGCAATCCAGATACCCATAACCATTCTCCAAGCAAGGCAGCCCCTGCAGATGACAAGGGTCGGAGAGGAGAGAAATACACTCCCTGGGCCGCCCCACTGCTCTCCTGCCGTAGCCCAGGCAGCCCTGGCTTCCCAGGCGAGGAGAGGGGGCAGTGTAATTCCTGTATCACCTACAGCCCCACATTTCCCCCTGGGTGGAGAATGATGGTTCCCAGTCTATCTCACCAAGGAGTATTCAATTCAGAATGTAGAGCTTAAATCTGAGGTAGGTCAAACCACATCAAATTGCCAGCAACCTACAGAAATGGCAATGCCTTTCACTCAACCCAATATTGATCGTATATCGGCCATGTTCCAAGCATATGAGTGTCCGTGATAGTTCCTGGCATGCTCTGAGAAGAAGAGATCCCTTGGTTGAGTGTCCTCAGGTGACAAATGGGATCTGCTGTGGGCTTTTGTTACCCCCATCCCTCCAGGGCCCTCAGGTAAGTGACTCTGACTCACTACTGCAGAGGGTTTATTTGTGTGAATGTCTTACCTTCTTAGGACTCTGGAGGAGCCAGTCGAAATAGGGGCTCTGTCCCAAAGCATTAGCTGGATGTGTCTGTAGCATCCATTAATATTAGTAACTGGAAATTAATTTTTAGGAACCAAAAAGGGCTTTGAGTTGCAGTGACTGCTCCAAGCAATCTATGGCAATAGAAAGACAACTGCTTAATGGGTAAATCACAGCTCAAAGGCATGAAAATCATTTTATCAGCACAGCTGTGCCCTCCCCTTGCCACTTTGGTCCTCTATAAAGTGCCTATTAGATTTTCTTCTCAGTGGCTGAGGTTGCTACCAAAGAGGTGATGGGCCAGTTGGTAGAGAGCACAGCACATTTTCGGGGATTTGGAACCTGTGTGGAACACTCACTGGCAGAGATTAAATGTCGTGGGCTCTTTTTCCCTTTTCTGTGGGAATTTTGCTTGTTCTAGATTCCAGTGGGATTAGTCCTTGTCTGAATTGACTTACTATATTAGACCCGTTGGAAACCCCTTTCCATCACTCCATAAATTATGTAATAAGTAGTTCTGGGCTTTCATTCCCAAATTGCCAGGACTAATGCTGATTGTCCTACCTGCCCTGAGTGCTCTTGTTGTGGACCCTTCCCTGAATGTTCCCTCAGACGCCTGCATGCGGGAGGGAGATGACATGGGCATCCCCAGCCAGAGGCATAATGGGAAATCTCCCTTTCTTTTCTTGCTTCCGCTCCATGGCTCTATTTTCCCTCTTTTAATATTGATTTTTTTTAACATTTTTTAAAAATATTTATCTCTTGTGAGAGAGACAGAGCGTGAGCGGGGGAGTGGCAGAGAGAGAGAGAGAGAGAGACACAGAATCTGAAGCAGATTCCAGGCTCTGAGCTGTTACGACAGCACAGAACCCGATGCGGGGCTCGAACCCACGGACCATGAGATCATGACCCGAGCTGAGGTCGGACACCCAACCGATCAAGCCACCCAAGGGCCCCTGTTGGTCCTCTTTCTCTCTTGAAGCCGTGTTTCCAGTTCTACCTTGCAGAGAAGCAGAGAGGGGATCGTGTTCTGGTGTGAAGGAAAAGAATAATCTGGAAACGCAGTGCTGTTCTTCCCTCCCGTGTCTAGTGGAAATCTTCAGTGTGAGCAGTGGTCACGTGTCCACTGTGACTGAAACAAACAGCAGTTAGTGCTCGGTTTCAAGTAACAGTCGCACGACTTCTATCCCTCTGCGCACCAGAGGGTGTCTGAAATGTGCAATGCTGAAGGGCAGATCAGGGAAGAGCAGAAAGGAGGGAGACGTCTGTTGCTGCTCCATAGTGAGGGTCCCTCTGCGCTCTGGACCGACTAGACCCACGCAGAGGCGTGTGTACCTGCGAGTGCGCCTGTCCGCTTCTGCAGCCCTCACGTTTCTCCTGATAGCTGTCCCTGGAACTGTCACCGGGCTTGTTGACTTGAAACCTTTACTGTTCTTCTTTAAAAAAAAAAAAAAAAAAATACTTTCCAACCTACTTGCTTTTCTTTTCTTTTCTCTGTCTGTTCTGTCCAGAACCAAACTGTCTTACTAACTGCCCCCTGGGGACTCTAGGCCTGCCTGCCTCACGCCGTAAGTGCTTCCTACCTTCTCTGCACACCGTCTGGAAAGGCCATTCGTGTAACTCGGGGTTGGTATCTGACACTCAGAAACAAGGCCAGATCGTGCTGGGTAGATGTTCCCTGTCAGTAGAGCCCACCGCCTGTGCTGGCCTGGAATGCCGCCCCCTTCCGGGACAGAGTGGCAGGGCCTAGACAGTCCCGTTTGTTCCACGGAGTGCCGACTGCTCGCTGTGAGGGTCGCTTACAGGGATGCTGCTGAGATTTCCGCCGTCCCGCGCAGTTTGCAGCCCGTTGGCTTCCAGAGGGGTGCAGGGACACTGGAGAGGGCACTGTCTCCGGCACAGGGGCCTAAGCCGCGGGGGTCTGTGAGCCAAGTTTTTTTCCCCAGTCGGCCTGCCTCTGCTCGCCAGCATTTACCAGGCACACGTACACGACCAGATGCCAAAATGAGGGGCGACCATAATGCGATGAGGCTTTTCTCTCTTTTTTCTACAACCACGTCAGAAGGAATAAATCCAAATGTATCTTGCTTGTCCTTGCAAGTGGTCACCATAGGTGACATAGTAAGTGCTCAATTAATATTTATTGGATGACTCAACAACAAAGCCATCGCTTGCTCCAAAAAAAAATGGTCTCATGGAATTGCCTTCCGGGCCTGACTCGAGCACTCCGAGGGCTAAATCCTTAAGTGCAATTGGCTCTCAAAGGCTAAAAGCGTGCCCCAAACATAAAAGGCCACATAGCCCATGGCAGGGGCCTCTCTGAGAAGGACAGGATCGTTTGCTTGTATGTGCCGGCATGTTATAAGAGAGAGTTCATTCCCTTGAACTCGTGGTCGCACGAGTTCCTGTAGGAGCTCCCCTTCCTGTAGGGGCTCGCGACCAGATGCTAGTGGCGCCACGCCGTCTAATAAAAAGCCTGTTCTGGTTCGGCACCAGCCGTCTGGAAACGGCCTGCAGTGGTGTCGGAAAAAAACTATGGCAGCGGCCACACCAGTATTTAACACAGCCGCCCCACGTAGAACACACACAACACACTCATACTCATGCGCAGCACACAACATTCATATACAAGATGACACAATGCACATATACACAACATACATGTGTACACATCATATACAACATACATACGGCACATACAACACATCACACACAGAACATGTACAGCACATACAACACACAACATACACGGATATACAGCACTTACAACACAACACTCATACACAACACGATGCCATACATACAACATACATACACAATGCACTATACTAAACAATACTCAAACACACAACTCTTATGGTACCAGGAGCAGAGACACAAAAAGACAAATCAGTAGCAGATTTCCCAAGCCACGCATTCCTTCCCACCTACCCCTGTGCACGGGGCTGAGGTGAGCTAAGGACACCTCACCCTGCCTAGTTTGCATTTCAGCTATTTCAGGCCAGTTTCGTGGGCGAGGTCTTTCTGGTTGTCATGGCTCCCATCACCATAGCGCTTTGCTAATCAAGGCATCCCCATCCTATCCTATAACTTGCCATCACAAAGAGGCAGGGAATGTCTAGGAGTAGCCTCCAGAGTTAACGCCATTTTCTGCCCAGCCCGCAGGGAGGCAGGGACCACCTCACTCCATCGCTCTTCCAGAAGCACCAGGCTGGTGCTCCGCCTCCTCTCTGCCCCCTCCTCCTCACGTTGCCCGTCTACATAGCCCACCAGTCTCTTCTCCGCTGTCACTCCCCTGCTCCGCGGATTTAACCATCCTCATCCTGGCCTCTGCACTTGCTTGTCACATCTCTGTCAATCCTCCAACGCCTTTCCTGACTGGCTCTGAGAGTCTGTGTTCTCTGTCATTCTTCATCACAGTGGTTTGCCATCTCAGCTTTTTCTTGTGTGAGTGTCACTTGGACGGACAGGTTCCACCCTCTGGAACTCACGGTTTCCTCACGCCATCACCGCCTTTCCGTGCGCCAGCATATTCCAAGTTTGGGCATCCTTGTCTCCCATGCTGCAGACTGGGGACAAGCAGCTCCATGTTCGTTAACACCAGAAAAGGAACGGCCGCCCTGGAGAAGAAGTAGTATAGGGGGTGTGCACCATGGTTGAGTGTATCCTGCGTTATATGTTCTCCGAGGGCGGGGGATGCCTGTAACAGAGCACAGGCACACTCTGATTCCACTTTTTTAAATGCTGCAGCAAGGAACAGCCATTAGAGAAAACTAGACTGAAGTTAAAATTTCTGCCTGCAGTGTTTTTCCCATGGGAGTTTGTTGAACCCACTGCCAGTCTATTGGGTTATTCCCAGTTGTTTATTACAATAGCAGAGTTCGTTTCGAGGTGAGTCTTGTTGTAATACAGCTGGATAAGTCATCGGTCTCTTAATGGGCCTCCAACAGACCAAAGCGCAGGGAGGCTGGCCTCTTAGGGTCGGGTCACTGTGGCTAACAGATCCTTCAGGAGCTCCAAAAGGTTGGGGTCAGCTGAGTCCGGATAGGACCAGGTGGCCTATGGCTTTCCCCACCATCCATAGGCTCCAGCCCAATTCTGAAGATGCTGCGTAAACACACCCATCTCATGGCATTGCCATATTTTGATCATAATTTGCTATGTTCTCATTACTGTGTCATTGATCATCCGTGTTGAATTTTTCACTTACCATTTAAAGTTATCCTCCCCAAGGAAACTATAACTTTCCGAAGTTTCCCCTGGTCCATTGCATTTAACTCGAGTCTGTTGAGAAGTGTTGGAGAAGAGTCACCCCGCCAATGCGTTGTCAGTCTGAGTAACCATGTCTTTTTCTTTCTCGACTCTGAAGGAACTACCTTGTTCCGCACTAGCTCCATCCCTAGAACCCTGCTTCTCCAGGCCCGAGAGACCAGCAAACCGTCGCCCTCCGTCCCGTTGGGCCTCACATTCCCCCACTGCCTCAGCGGCTCAGTCACCCGGAGACCCAGCCTCCTTGGAGGAGCTCGGAGACGAAGAGCCGCCCGGGGAGAAGACGCACCTGTGACGAGAGTGCAAGTTTGCATGGATCATCGGGGGAATGAGTCCCTGTAATTTGCATAACCACACCGTCGTCATCAACCAAGCTCCGCCCACAAGGAGAGATGCAGCTTTCCCAAGGTCAAAGAATGTTTTTTAAAACACACACAGCTGCTGAATGTCCAACCTGTGAACCTGAGATGTTTCTAGAACGAAACCGTAAACGTGCCTGTAATAACTTAATTTTTTTCATAGCTCAGAAAACTATTTTTGTCTCCATCTTTTTTACACACGGTATATTAAACAAAAAAGCTAGGTAAGATATAAATAAATTTAAAAAAATAAAAGTTTTAAAGATGTACATTTTAAGAGATTCTGAACACCCTTGCGCTCAATACTGACTGCCTCTCTGTTAAATTTGCACTGTTATGTTTTGGTTTGGTTTATTTCCACGTTGAATTAGAGTGTTTTAAGTTAATATTATTTTGTCAGTGTTCTTGTTTTTTAAGAATTTTTGAAATGCTTCGGACTGTCTGATTCAGTGAACTTTTTGTAGTGAAAAAGCCATGAAGCTAGTCGACAAGACAGATATCCTCTCTACAGGAGGGGGTACACGTCAGCATTTTTGCAAAGGTACAGAGTCCTCAGCTGGGCTTACCAAATTCGCTATATAATCCACATACTCTACTCGACTTGCACGTCTTCGGGTTCGAAGCACTGGGGTGCATGTACATACTGCTGTGTGGTCTCAACCAACGCGTAAGTGTGAGTCATCTGTCCCACCGTAACATGTTGTGAATTCCTCGTACTGTACTTTGATCGTTGTCCTCTTGCACTGAGATACAACGGCAATGGCATTTTTAAATTATTGTTAAAGATGAACTGGCAGTATACAGTGTTTACTCAAAATTTTCTTGTTTAAGGAAAAGCACTACAAAAAGTCAGGAGGGTACCAAACTGGATCAAAGGATGGTGCCTCGGAGTCTGTATGAGACAATGATGAAGTACAAATAAAGCCTTTACAAGATGGCAGCCTCTTCCGGGACCTTGTATTTCAAGTGCCCTCCATCCCTTCCTAAGGGCTCAAGCTGATGGTTTTCCATAGCCAGGGGAAGGAGTGAAGGGGGAGGTCATGTAAAAAAGGCAACAGCTGCCAGCACATCTCCCTGGGGATACACCACGTGTGTGTGCTATGCCACAGCTTCCCTGTTCTCTGTAAGAGCACCCTGAGGTTGATGAAGGGCACCTTCGTTCTTGTGGAAAATATGGTGGCAGGTGTGAGGAAACTTACCCATGAGTCAGAATGTGTCCGGCCTCTCTCCCTTACCCCTCTTTGGGAAAGCGTGAGGGGCCAATCGCTGGGACGGTGTTGCCTCGTAAGATGTAGCCCAGCCTGTCCGCAAGTGACCGAGTAGGGGTTTACAAAGCGGTGAGGCTACCAAAGAGGGTAAGAACTACATCGGGCCGAAGCTTCCGGCCTCGGTGTTCTATTGACCTGACGGTGCTGTTCTTCTCTAGACTGGCTAACAGAGTAAGTTCTGTGCCCATCTTTAAGCTAAATATTTTCCCCCCGAATGGAAAATACCAACTGTTGGTGAGGACGTGGGGGTGCTAGAACCCTGGTGCTGGGAACACAGAATGGTGCAGCCACCGTGGAAAACAGCGGGTTCTGAAGTTCAGCAGGATCACCTGCGATCCGGCAGTTGTGGTGGCAGGCCCAGAACAACTGAAAGCTGGGACTCGAACAGACACCTATCCACCCATGTCCACGGCAGCATTATCCACAAAGCCATACGGTGGAAAACAACCTGAATGCCAAATCGGTGAACGAATGATAAACAAGATGTGGTCTACACATTCACTGGGCTACTGTTCAGCCTTAGGAAGGAAATTGTGGCACATGCCGCCTGCCGCATGCACGAATCTTGAGGCCATTATGTTAAGTGAAATAAGCCAGTCACAATAATAGTAACTATCGTATGGTTCCGCTTATATGAAATACCTAGAGTAATCCCATGCATAGGTACTGAAGGTGAAATAATGGTTGCCAGGGGTTGGGGGAGGAAAGAACGGGGGCGTAGTGTTTCATGGGTATAGTTTCTGCTTGGGATGATGAAGTTCTGGAAACAGGTAGTGGTGATGGTTGTGCAACAATATGAATGTACTTAATGCCACTGAACTCTACACTTAAAATGATTAAAATGGTGAATGTTATGTGTATTTTACCACAATAATAACTTTTTTAATTTTTTAAAAATGTTTTTAATGTTTTTTTAAGTTTTTTCTTTTTTTCCACAATACCAATTTTTAATGCAAAAAACATCCCGCTTCACTACGCTAGACGTAGCTGCAAACAAAACAAACCGGCAAGTCACCAATGTTACTTTTGTGCCTACCCCGTGCCCACAGTAGATGCTGGAAGGTGCATTAGTGTTTCTCCAGTGGCAGCAACCACCCAGAAGGAAGGAGAGTTGATGGTGCTCACAACTGAGAAAGTGCTAGCTAGCAGCGAGTGCCGTCACAATCCAGAGCCTCCGACAGTGCCAGTCTGCTCCATCGCCTGCCTCTGCTCCCCTCTGTATGGCTTTATCCCAAGAGTCAGCTACAAGGGTCCCCAGAGGCTATTAGCTTACCAGCTCCTGGAGAAAGAAGACCTCTTCCCGGTAGCTCTAGCAAAAGCCCCAGGAGTGATAGATCGCCTGTGTCTCCTGAAACTCACACGTCTCGCCCTGAGCCAATCGCTGACAGATTTACCCAGCAAAGGAGGACCACGGGGTTAGCAGAATAGAAGGGAAGGTGCCTGGCAGGCAGTGAAGGCTGTGTACGACTGTGGGGCAGCCCGGAGTTTAAAGAGAGGTCTGGTCATCACAGAGAACCTGCTATCTGGCTGGAGGAGATAAAATTCCCAAGCACAGCACCAAAATGCAAAAGTGCTACAGTATAGGGATGCCTAGGTGGCTCAATTGGTTGAGCATCTGACTTCGGCTCAAGTCATGATCTACAGTTCACGAGTTCGAGACCCGCACTTCAGATCTTCTGTTCTCCTGTCTTTCTGCCCCTCCTCCCCACTCTCTCTCTCTTTCTCAAGAATAAGTAAACATGAAAAATGGGGGGAGGGGGGAATTAAATGCTATGGTGTAACTCCTAAGTAAAGTAGGGCTTGAGTTGGACCTCGAGGAAGGACAGGATTTCAGCATGAAGGCAGGAGAGGTTGTTGGGTGGGTGAGCAGAGGGAGCAGAGCTGTGCAGTGGCGGTAATAACTACATCTGAGTAGGACAGTGACAGACATGCTGAAGGGGCTGGCAGCAGACCCTGGAGTGAGCAAAGCATCAAGTGCCGTCACCATCCAGAGCCTGTGACGCCAGGGCCCTGAAAGCCAGTTTGGAACTCCTCTGACCCTCCAATTCTCTAATAGTTGTGCGTATGGATTCTTGAGTCCATTTGTTGTGGAACTACGGCAGCTCTCGCAAAGGCAAGACTGTAAGCAGGTGAAATCCTGTTCTACGTTCCCGTCCAAATGAACGTGGCGGCAGCTCAGTGGGTAATTCTGGGCTCCGAAAGGAGAGCAGGTAGCATCAAGGGCCGGCCCGCAGGAAGTGCCCATTTATGTCTCCAGGAGCCATCTTCAGTGTGCCACTCGCTTTTGTGTCCTGAAGAAAGAGCCAGAAGCAGAAGCAGATTCCTGGAGCCCAGCGGGCAGCCCTCATACCCTGAGCATGCCCTCCCTGCCCACATGGTCACAACCAGCCTAGCTACTTCTCATCGAGTTGCACTTGACCTGGGCTTTAAAAAAAAAAAAAAAAAAAAAAAAGCCTGGGCATTCCATAATTCTAATTTTTATTTAGTACATTGGTGTTTCAACCACTTTTGAATTAAACTTGCCAGAGTTCAGCATATTTCAAAAAGTAGTTGGGAAGTACAACTTAATCATTTTCTAACTCATGGATGATTTTTACATTGTAAAATACACCTAACATGAAACCTACCGTTTTAACCATTCTGGAGGGTACAATTTGGCGCATTTGGTACATCCACAGTGTTGTGCAGTCATCAGCACTGTCTAATCCCGGAACGTTTGGAGCTCCCCAGAAAGGAAATCGGCCTTTTGCAGTCAGGGTCCCCAGCCCCTGCTACCCATGAATCTGTTCTGAGTCTCTCTGGATTTCCCTGTTCAGGATAGTTCATGTAAATGGAATCACAGAACATGTTGCCCCTTCTGTCCAGCTTTCACTCAGCACAGTGTTTCTGAGGTTCATCCACACCATAGGGTGTTATGAGTGCTTCAATCTTTTTATACTTTTTATACTGTTCCATTGTGTTGAACACTGTATGGATAGACTACATGTTGTTTATTCATTCATATCAGTTAATGGTAACATGTCTATCTTGAAAACAAAAGGAAATGGTTTGGTAATTTTAAGCAACCTTAAGCATTCCCCAGTTGCCAAAAGGACACAGTCCATGAATAATTAAGACTCTTATCAATCAGCTTACATAATTGAGGTCTTTAACCTCTAAGTATAGTTGTTGCATGAAGCCACCAGTACATATTCGGCTCATCTTACTTTCCTTTGTTTTGCATTTAGTCCTTTCCACATCTTTCCTTGAATGCAATGTGCACTGGAAACCAGTTTAGCAAGAAATCAGGCTGAGTTATAAGTGAGTCGGTTGGCTGTTTGAGTGAATCTGAGGACACGGAGCCTGAGGACACCCTGGGTCACCAAAATCAGTATGGCCCTGAGAGTGGAAGAAGCCTGGATTTGAATTTTGGTTTGAATACTTAAAGCAATGCACGCAACCTTGGGCCATCTCTTGAAGACTCATTTGAAAAACAGAAACAATACTACCTGCTTCCCAGGCTTGGAAGGATTCAAGGTGCACTGGGTGCAAGATATTCTGCTCAGAGTTGCGAACACCAAATGTGAGTAGAAGACACTGTGTGTTCCAGTGATGAGAACCCGTAGCAGGCAGGTGTGGGTGTGATGGAGTGTACTGGAAAGGCTTCTCTGGGGTGATACCACGTGAGCAGAGGCCTGAGCAGGAAGCAGCTGTCGGGCTGTCAGCCGGGCAGAAGGGCCGGTGCAAAGTGGGGATGAGGAGAGGGCATGAACCTGGTGTGATTCGGGAGGTGAATGGTGGCCATTGTGCCTGGAGCAAGAGGGAGAGGCAAGGGAGCTTGGGAAAGGCCCTCTGGTCCACAGGAAAGGGTTCCGATTTTCTGCTAGGTGGGGGGGAAATCCATTGGAAGATAATAAAACCCAAGAGTTACTTGTTAGGTTACTGTGATAAAAGGATAGAAACAGGGCAAGGTTCGAAGGCTTTCTGGGAAAAGACAGTTGTGTTGACCCAGAGAAGCCTTGATGGTGGTTTGGACAGTTATTCTGCTTCTGTTATTATTAGCAATTCCACCACCATGATCACCATTTGCTGCTTGTCAAGAACTGGGCTTCAGAATCTGCTGCTGAGTATTCTGCCGCCCCCACTGCCCAACTCCAGGATATACCCCAGTTGTTCAGATACAAACTGAAGGGGGCCCTTGTTCATTCTGCTGCCTCTCAGGCTGGGCCTGCAGACCTGCCAATGGCCTTGGGCCAGGAAGAACCAGAATAACCGGTCTTCCCTCTTAGCTCCCATCCCTTCAGGGCGCAGAATCACACAGCAAGGTTCACATTCCCATTTGGTTGCATTTTGTTTTGTCTTTAAGCTCTGATCCCTCAGAAGGAAGCTGGCACTTCTGAGCTATGATCAATCATTTGTCAATTAATAAAAGTGGCTTGACTCTGCAGAAAGACAACTGAGTACCCCAGACATGGGGATGGTAGGGGAGGGCTGGGGAGACAGTTAAAGGTGCTGAACAACCTAACCTAAGACGATGGGTTAGAGGGTGCCTGGGCGGCTCAGTCCGTTGAGCATCGGACTCTGGATTTTGGCTCAGGTCATGATCCCAGGGTGGTGGGACTGAGCCCTGCTTCCGGCTCTGCACTGAGCGTGGATCCTGCTTAAGATTCTCTCTCTCCCTCTCTCCTCC